GAGAGAAAGGAAGTATCAAGGGCTTGAGAAACAGAAATTCCTCGCTTCTAAATGTTCTAGTTGGTAAGAACAAAATCTTAGCTTAGATATATTGTTTACCTTTTCTGTATTGTTTACTTTTTGGATAGCCAAGTTTTAGGTGATAAAATGAACATTAAGTGTCTCTGAAGATGGACATTATGACTCCAATGTATTAATAGTCATTGCTTATCAAAGTGAAATGGAATTGAAAGAAATTAATATTACTTAAGAAAACCCCAGGTGATGAAGGCAAACCTGAAAGGACAATTTTCTTAATACATCAAGTTTCTAAGTTGAAGAGTCTTAAATACAAAGAGATTGGGAGAAAAACAAAGAGGAATTTGTTAAGGCTGAATCAAACAATTATTCACACATACCTGAGAGCATTCAGAAGTCCTTCCACAGTGTCAGGTGGTTGTTCCTTTAAAACTTTTATGCATCCCTTCATCTGGGAACAGAAGCATGCCACTATTGAACAATAATATATGAATTGCACTAGCTGAAAACAAGGAAAAATTTCACCATAGACAGGCAGGTTTTTGTTCCTACTGAGCGTTAGTGCTGCTTTATATGACACAATAAAAGCATTATAACTTATTAAAAATTATCTTAAGTTAAAAACCTAACTTGTGAGAAAACAACATCTACTTTAATAACTGTTTGTAGATAGAAAATTATGTATCAAGTTATATATTTTAACTTGCACACGTTTCTCCAATTCCAACTTAAAAAAGTATCAAGAACAGCTGATATAGGCTAAAAAAAAGATTTTGGAAGAGTTCCATGTCATTGCTGTTAGCAACTATCAGAAGAGATGTTTCAACTTTTACTTTCATTTGTATGCTTGCACACAAGGAAGTAATTTTCAGTACTCAGTTTTTAGTTGTAAACCTAACTGGTGATAACTTGTTTGTTTCACAACTAGTGGTTACAAATTTAACCTGAGATAAGAAGTCCATGATGTTGATTTTAAACACCACACTGAACGAACAACTTTGTGGAGCCTGTGAAAAACAGGCTGAAACTCTGTCCACATCTACAGAAGGGGAAATGAAGCACAGAAGGCAGAGGTAGAACTCATTTGACCCACTATACAGACTTCCTATCTAGTCAACAGAGAGAAATACGTAATTCCTCTAACCTATTCAGAATATACTTTCATATGTAATGAATCATGCTCCATAAGTACCTATTTCCTCCCACTGCTATGAAGACATCTAAAAGCTATCCAGAAATCAGCCTAGATTAATTCCATCTGATTTAAAATGACAGTTAAAGACATGGCAGTGTCAAGATTTGAACCTTCTCATTTTCCCAGTCACATTACAGTGCTAAATCTACATGATTCTATTTTCTTTGCAGCTAAAGAGCAACTCTGCCTTATTATGGAAGAGGATGATGAAATACTTAACAGTTAAGTCAGGGTCCATGTATTTGCCAATAAAAATTATTCACAAAATGTAGCTCAGCCTCGTGCACAATGACCAGCTAACAGTCACTGATCACTGCTCAGCTGGCTCACTTCTACCTGGAAGATAAAACTGGCTTTGCAAATAGCAGATCAGATGAATTCTCAGGGTAACAGTACACATTTTGAAGTGGCAGTTACTTCTCCTGAACTAGGGAAACTCAAGACTATATTCATAACACTCAGTACAGGTTTACATGCCAGATCATATCAGATCAGACAAACTCAAAGGGGATAAAAATTCAAACCATTCTCTCCCATTTTTGTTAGAATCAGAATCCCTAAAACAGCCAAAAAAGAGAATCTGTGAGGACGTCTAAGCTAGGCGCCTGTAATGTACAGCTTGAAATACAGCCTTCAGTCTTGAAAGAGTAAGGAAAGGGTAATTTGTTCCACTGTCCTTGAAATTCTCTTGAAATGGCTCCCAAGAAGTGACTAGTTTGAAGAAAACAATCATTTTTCACAGTAAAACAAACTCATCATCTGGAATATTAGAAGATTTTTTTATTAGAGAGGAATCACTGAACTAATTAGGGGAACTAAGATTTGGGACCAGGTACTCATTTTTAAAACCTGAGTCTCCTGCTTCCCATTTACATCTAGCTAACTTTCCTGTAAGATTCCAGGGCTTTGGAGTAAATGTGAGAAACAAAGTACACACATTGTATATTTGGTCCTATCTAAATTTTCCTTGTGTTGTCTCTGTAGGCAAAAGACTGCATTAGCAGTCAGGAAGTCTGCATTCAATTCCCAGGCTCTATCTACTGCATGACCTTGAGCAAATCAATTTACGTCTTTGTGACATATCTTTCCCTCTGTAAAACAGAGTCAAAGAGGAGATACAGTAAAATACTGATATCTGCAGATGAAAAATGCTAACGAAGACTCAGTGTCATGGAGCACAATAATACATGTATTTTTTCTTTTCTTTTGAAGTATACTCTCTTGTAAAGGGAAAGACTTAGCATCTTTTTTCATGAATTACAGGTTATTTCTGCTGAAAGATGTGGTGCATTACATTTAGGTTTGCAAAAACCTGCAGCAAAAATAAGAGTACTTTTTTGCGCATGCTGGCAATATCTCAGATGAAAAAAGTAAGGTCCATTTCCCTGTGACTGGTCATGCCAAAGCTACAAGTGAAGGCTCATTATCAATATCACAACAATAACATTTCAGTTCTGCTACTTCAGATCTCAGACGAAGCAGACACAATGTCAAGTATCTGCTTATTTACAACAGAACTACTGCCAAAGATGAACATTTTAGCACAAATAAATGACACGAATGAAAAACTATGACCATAGAACTTATTCCAGCGTAGGTGTAATACAAAATTATTTTAGTGTAATCATACAGTTGGCAGGAAAGCAGACCTAAGACAAATGAGTCTCTGTGTCTGGAAGAAAACACAAAATAAAAAAGACTGACCCTTATTTTAATTTCAAACAAGCTGATCTATTAAAGTACACAGGTGAAGATAAACTCTAAATTTTGCCATTCAAAAGTTACTAAAATGATTTATAAAAAGTTATACGCTGCTGAAAAAAAGCTGCAGACTAGTGTTCTCAAAACTACAGAGTATTAAAGAAAAGTCACTCTTACATCAATCTTTGATGTCTTTGAGAAAGCTCCCACAGGATGAACGTGATCATACAGAATAATAACTCCCACCATTACTCGCATGCAGAACATAAGAGTCTCTTCACTGGTGAATCTACTCCTGTACTCTCTGGAAAACAAAACAAAAGAAATAAACAGTCTTGACTTTTTGCTGGCCAATTTTGCAAACTGAGCATATGAAATCTGAACTAAAATTGGGTTTTAAGGTTGAAGATGCATCTTAGTAAGATTTTAAAGATATTTGAATTGCATAAGTCCTTGTCGATTTAGAGGAAAGGTTAGAATGCAAATAGAGACATGTAAACCCCTTCTAATACACCTTCACAGTTCACATCCTCACTTCGGCAAAATGTCTTAGACTTCCACAGTCCATGAAATACGATGGAGACTGTTTAATCTCAGAAA